CCCCTGCTCCCCGCTGGCAAGTGGACATCCTCCGAGTGCTGCCGGGCTGCCAGAGGGATGTCTGCCAGCTTTGGCCCAATCTCCCGGGTAGTGGGCCTAAGCCAGCAGTCTGGTCCCCGAGGGGTCCCAGACTGCGAGAGCACACAGGCCAGGCTGAGGGACCCCTCCCCCCCCGGGTCTCCAATTTTTGTGCACTGGGCCTCTAATTTGATATAAACTGACATGTCTACACTAATGTAACTGAGCAACGAAAGGTTTGTGTTGGCAGAATGCAGATTTTTTTCATCGTTTCTTTTTGATAATCTATTCCAAATTACCAACACCTTACTGGAGAAGCTGAGGGAAAAACTACTTTTAAAAACAAAATGTAATTTTGTAAAGTACTAATATGTAGGCCCCTGTTAGGACTTTGGTGAGGACTCAATGAAGAGAAGCTCAATTTTAGTTCCACATATAAAGCAGGATTTAAATATTTAAAATTATTTGTCTCATCATCTCCGTAAGTAATGTCCTATTTGTCAGAGATTTTCTTGCATTTTTTGGCCTGGAAACAGGTCTCCATAGACAGAGCACTAAAACGAAAAGGCTGCCCCCTAGAGGTGGTGGAGGATGGCTACAGGTGGCTGGGTCATTGACGTCTTGACCAATTCTGCTTTTCTGAATTGGGTTCCAGGAAATGAGTAAACTAAAGGTTCATGGACACCAGAGTGGTCCTTGGGCATTTGTCCTTGGTCTCCTTACAGGTGGGAGTGCAGGTGAGAGGGCTATGGCTCTCCTCATCCTGGCTATAATGGGAAGGAATAAACGTTGGCTCCAGACAGAACCATTCATGGGAGGACTAACCCTTCCCCCTCATTGTCAGGCTAAAGTCTCCTCTTGGAGCTGAGTCCCTGCCTCACCACCTAATGTCAGGGCATCGTGAGGATAGCTGGTGGTTGAAAGTTAGAGTGCTTGCGGGGAAGTGCCCTGGCTGAAATGTCAGGACCAGCATTCTGAACCTGTCACAGCTACCAACTGCTCCATAGCCTGTCTCAGCCACAGCTTTGGAGTCTGTAAAACAAGGGGATGATAACGCTTCTTAAACATGAATGTGCAGATGAATCACCTGGCAACTTAGTAAAATGCAGATCCTGATTCAGTGGGTCTGGGGCGGGGCCCAGAACTAGGTGTTTCCAACAAGTGCACAGCAGCTAGCCATGCTGCTGAAGACAACACTTTGAGGAGCAAGGGAGTCGATTCCAGTGTGGTTCTTCTAAATTCTAACAGTGGCTCTTCCCGGCTCACCATACCAAGGACACTTCTATTCAATTTCAGCCCAAGGATATAAGCAGAAGACGTGACTAGCGTGCCAGTCTCATGACTCCCCTCTTCAGTGCAGGGAGCTTGTTTTCCCTGGTCACCTGGGGAACCTCCCAAGTGAGCAAGGAGCTTGCGTCCTGGCTCATTTTTGCTCCTAGATGTAGCTACTCCTTGTATACATACATTCCTAACTGCCCTGTAGGGTTTGTTGGTTTTACTATGAAGATCTGGAGTATCAGTGACCAGCATTTTCTGCTTGACCTATCTAGATGCCTAGAGCTGTGGTCGGCAAACCACGGCCTGTAAGCCACATGCGGCTCTTTGGCCTCTTGAGTGTGGCTCTTCCAAAAAAATACCACGTGTGGGCGCGCACGTACAGTGTGATTGAAACTTCGTGGTCCATGCGCAGAAGTCAGCATTTTGTGGAAGAGCCGGTGTTTTGTGGAAGAGCCACACTCAAGGGGCCAAAGAGCCGCATGTGGCTCACGAGCCGCAGTTTGCCAACCACTGGCCTAGAGTGAAGAGACCAAATTGGACAGTCTGCTCACCTGAGCCATTCATAGTCAGGATCAGAGATCCTTACAGCTGGAAGGGAACCTAGAGATCGTTGAACCAGACCCCCTTTTTTGCACACAGTGGAGGCCTGTGAAGTAAAGGGACTTGTCTAAGGCTCTGCAGCCATGAGTGGCCGACCTGGGGAGATGCTCAGATGCCTCCACTTCTAGGAAGCACCTTGCGTTCTGTTTACACCTGCAGAGCTTGTATCAGTGTTTTGAGTCTGAATAGCAAACAGTACTAAATAGTTAAGACAATGTAGACCATCTTCACACTCTTTTTTTTTAAAAATATATTTTATTGATTTTTTACAGAGAGGAAGGGAGAGAGATAGAGAGTTAGAAACATCGATGAGAGAGAAACATCGATCAGCTGCCTCCTGCACATCTCCCACTGGGGAAGTGCCCGCAACCCAGGTACATGCCCTTGACCGGAATCGAACCTGGGACCTTTCAGTCCGTAGGCCGACGCTCTATCCACTGAGCCAAACCGGTTTCGGCCATCTTCACACTCTTTATTGAATTGTTTTCTGAATAAAATGTTCAGCCCTATCATGATCATTATTTTTCCCAGTGTCAACCTGTGTCTGCTGCTGATTGGTCCAAGGATATTCGAAGTTGCAAGCTGTTAAGTGCACAGTCTCTGAATAAATGGCTGATTATATGTAGCAGCAGAGCTGAAAACGTGATTGAGAACTTCCTGAGCTGCTTGAGAAGAGTTGGAAGTTCCATGGGGTTTAATGTGGACTATCCCAAAATGTGAGCATGTCAGTCACCCAACCTTTCTTACATGTGTTTAGTTTGGTTAGAATCTAGGAAATGAGCTGATTTAGCTATAAAAGCTTCTTTATCTCAGCAAAGTTTCCTAATATGAAGTACCAAGAAGATAGTTCTAAGTAAATAGACATTTGCAATGATGTTTAAATATACTTTATGTTGGTCTTTGTAAAACTTATTTTTTCAGTTTTTTAAGGCAATAGTCTCATTACTTCAAAGTCAGTAGTAATTTGGGTATAAACCCATATCTTGCCCTCTCAACTTTTTTCTTTAATTCTTTTATATTAGTTATTTATAAAACTTAATTGCAAATGGCATATGAAAAAAAATGAAAGTTGCATTTCCTGACTTATTGGGTAAATTTTATGCTTTACAATTGAATGTAAAAATAGATCTGAATTAAGTTTTTCTGATGCTGTTACTTTAGTATAAAATGAGTCATTTACATAGTTTTCTGATAAAACTAAGGCCATTCATTTAGTTCTTCAACATATATTGAGTATCTACTCTATGTTAGATAATGCCGGTTTGGGGGCGGAGGGGATGAGAAAGACAGATTAATTGCTTTTCATTTAGTAAGGGGTCCAGACATACCCAAGCACACTCCAAACTGAACATTGTTTTGGTTTTAAAAAAGTCATAAAGTTGATCATGTCTCATTTTATTGAGCTTGATATGCTTAGCCAGGAGCTTTTTCTATCCTTAGTAGGGATACTTCTTTTCTTGTGATGGTGGAGATGCAGATGTCCTCATTGGCAGGATGGGAAATTATTCTTTAAACGCATAGCTGCTAATTAATTACATCAGCATTGTTGAAAACCACAGGTCTTCCCAAAGTCTCATTTTACACTGCAGTTTAGAATTCTCCTCTTACCAAATCTGTTAACAGATTGCCTGGTTTGAGTTTCACTTGCTCTAATTTCTCTTAAACCATGAGCTAATGAACAAGGCAGGGAAAGACTAATGGAAGAAGCCACAGCCAGCAGACCTTGCGCTGGCACCTTTCTCACACCAGTTCCACCAGCAAGCCCGCGCTCATGTCTGTCCCTGGACGGTTTTATTTGAAAGCCCGTATTTTGTTCCATCTTTCCTGCCTTCCCCCAATGAAGTATCCATTTACCCGTTAGACTTATTATGTGCATAATTTCTCCCACCGGAAACATTTGCCAGATGACTGGGGAAGGAATGGACAGTGAGATAGCGGTCTTTGCATTCAAGAGATTGAACTGGAGAAGTCAGAAGCATTTAGTCGTTTTAACAGAGCTGTAAACCTTCGGACGGCTCACTGGAATCAGCAAGCAGGAGACCGTGGTCCTGCCCCCTGCTGGGCAAGTTTTAAAAGGCCACAGGGCATTTAGGCAATCCAGTCATAGACACTCAAGAGTCTGATTGTGCATAAAGAAAGTGGGTTTGGAAATTCCTCTGTGTGGGAATTATTTCTGTAGCCTCTGGCCCCTGACTTAATGTGAGCACAGAACAGATCATTGATAAGCACTTGCTGACTGATTGCTTAAGGCTTCAAACAAGCTGTCACGAAGGGGGAAAATCTTTTAGTCTGAATCATACAGTTTCAAGGTTAGCTGAGTATGTTGGTCTCATTAACCTGATGATTTTGAAACATTCATTTTAAAATTCTTAAGGAGATTTGGTATTAGAGAAATGTTACTCCTAGTTTAACTTGAATCCCGTTTCAGACACTTGCTATTGAGACTTGTGGTTTCCAAAGTTCACTTTCAATCTCATTCTGAGCAACAGAATTATTAATTGTAGGGATACCAGGCAATTCAAAACATTTTATGTCCCTCCTAAACTATTTTTAAGGTAATAAAAATGGTTATTAGATATTTCTGGCATATCTTGGTGTGTGAGAAATGATTTTAGACGCAAAAGGTTGTCACTTTTCTCTAATGATTTTTTTCTCAAATTGCCAGTCTGTTATAAAAATCCACTTGTATTATTTTAACTCTATCTTATGTGCTACTACAAAGGGGATTTTATATCTTCAAAATTAATCTTTTTTACGCAGCATAAAAGTACAGGAAAGTCCAGCTGCGTTTTTTGGCGCTATACAGAAACACGTTGATCGTGATGTTCAGCTGGTGAGTACAGGATCATTTTTGTGTTTTCACGTATAATTTTTATTTTTCCTTGTAGATAACAGTCTTGAAAGAATGAATCTGAACATGATCTCCCGTGATGTTTACACATTGCTGTGCATTTCCCCAAGCATCTAAGAAAGTATTAATCTTAGCATTTTAATCAACAGTTTTTTTCCCTATTTCTAATATTAATTTGAAGATACTTGTTGTTACCCCTATTATCAGCCTCTTGGATGTCTACATATTTTTCTACTGCTTGGGGGTCATATTTCACTTGAGATTTAAGATAAATTGATTCCCATCTTAACCCATAAATGTTGAGGCACCTGTGTTCTTTCCAGTGTTTCAGGGATTCTTGGAGGGTGAGGGTTTTCCATGTCACCTGTGGCCTAATGTTCCTGCTTCCCCTGCATTCTTGCCTTCCTGTGTGTATTTTCAACTTTTGTGAGTGCCAGGTCCTCCTGCATTGCATCAGCCTGTGGGATTTCCACAAGTGCCTCATTTTCCAAAGTAGTTCTGTGTGTGTGTGGTGAGACTGACCTTGCCCAGGGTTTGGGGCCAAGGTTTGATGACATCACACTCCAACATTGCAGACAAGTTAAAATTGACATCCCTGTTCTTACAAAACCTCAGCCACCCCTATTTCTTGGAAGTGTGTGCGCTCCTCCAAGGCTGAGGCCTCGCACTACACTGCAGTGCCTTTCCTGTTCCACCCCCTCCTCTTG